ACCTGAAAGAAATAGCCTGACGGGAATTTGAACTTTAATTTTATCAATATTTACCCAAAGGGAAATTCGAAGCCTAGGAAAGAGGAGTTCTTTTTTGGTTAATCTGCTCTCCTCTTCCCAATTTTGCCATTTGAGTAGGGGCTCCAGAGCAAGGTGAGGGAGGGCCTTACTGCAAATGAAGTCCTAAGTTTTTGCATATCTGAATGTGTTTATATTTCCACACATTCCACATGCCCTTTTCTTCTACTTGTTATTTGTCAGGGAGGTGATGAAGTGGCTAATGGATGATGGAGCATGTATAAGATCCTTATGAAGAAAATTAGACAAGTGTTTAGTAAGTGGATAGATGTAACATGTTTCTGAATGGGAAGACTTGAATGTTGGCATTTGTTAGCTTATCTATAAACTTAATGTGTTTTCCACAAAATTCCAACAGATGTCCATCAATAAGGAAATGACTACATAAGTTGTGGTACAACTATATTGTAGGATATACAAACAAAACTAAACCTGTATGTTTGAAATGGAAATATCTATAGGACACATGGAGAAGAAAATGTGCAAATACAGCTATAGGAATACCTAAATATATAAAGACAGTATTAACATCCCTACAGGGAGAAATAGAAATACAATAATAGTAGGAGACTTAAGTACCTATTGTGATCAATGAATAGATAATCCAGACAAAATATCAATAAGGAAACAATGACTTTACGATATTTTTAAGTATATTTATTTTGAGAGCGAGGATATGAGCAGGGGAGGGGCAGAGAATCCCAAGCAGGTCTCTGCGCTATCAACAGAGAGCCCAATGCAGGGCTCAATCTCACAAATCGTGAGATCATGTCCTGAGCCAAAATTAAGAGTCTGATGCTTTGCAAACTGAGCCACCCAGGCACCCCAGGAAGCATTGACTATAACATTAGACCAAATGGACTTACCAAGCATATACAGGACAGGACATTCTATCTAAAAGTAACAGAACACATTCTTAAGCACACAGGGAACATTCTCCAGGGTAGATCATATGTTACACCACAAAATAAGTCTTAATAAATTTGAGATTGAAATAAGTATCTTTTCCGACCATAATATGGTGTGAAACTAAAAATCAGTTACAAAAGAGAACTGGGAAATCAAGTATATGGAGATTGCTACCAAACAACTAGTTTCAAAGAAGAAATAAATTCTAAAGTATCTTGAGACAAATGAAAACGGGAATACAACATACAAAAATTTATGGGATGCAGCAAAAGCAGGTTTTTTTTTTTTTTATGTTTATTTTTGAACAAGAGCGTGAGCAGGAGAGGGGCAGAGAGAGGGAGACAGATCCCAAGCAGGCTCCACACTGTCAGTTCAGACCCCTACGTGGAACTTGAACTCATGAACTGTGAGATCATGACCTGAGCCAAAAACAGGGGTCCAGTGCTTAATCAACTGAGCCACCCAAGCACCCCAGCAAAAGCAGTTCTTGGAGGGAACTTTTTAAGTTTTATTTATATAAGTAATCTCTACACCCAATGTGGGGCTTGAACTCATGACCCCGAAATCAAAAGTGGCCCATACTTCCAGTTGAGCCAGCCAGGTGCTCCCTAAGAGGGAACTTTAAAGGGATAAATAGCTACATTAAGAAACAAACATCTCAGGAAAAACAAGCTAACTTTAGGGGCGCCTGGGTGGCTCAATAGTTTAAGTGTCTGACTCTTGATTTGGGCCCAAGTCGTGATCTCACGGTTAGTGAGTTTGAGCTTCACATAGGGCTCCACGCTGACAGTGTGGAGCCTGCTTGGGATTCTTTCTCCCTTGCTGCTCACATGTGCTCTCTCAAAAAACAAAAAAAGGAAAACCTAACTTTACATCTCAAAGAACTAGAAAAGAACAAAGGTTAGTAGAAGGAAGAAAATAACAGAGGACATAAAATAAAGACTAAAATGACAATAGAAAAAAAGCTCAAAGAAACAGCTGGTTTTTTGAAAAGAGAAAAAAATGACAAACCTTTAACTAGACTCACCAAGAAAAAAAAGAGGACTTCAAATCCAAAGGAAAGAGGTGACGTTACCACAGATACCACAGAAATACAAAGCATCATAAGAGACTACTATGAGCAATTGTACACAAGTAGAACAACCTAGAAGAAATAAATTCCTAGAAATATACAACTTACCAAGACTGAGTCATAAAGAAAAAGTCTGAACAGACCAATTACTAGTAAGGGATCTGAATCAATAATCAAAAACCTCCCAACAAACAAAAGTCCAGGATTAAATGGCTTCAAGGATGAATTCTACCAACCATTTAAAGAAGATTAATACCAACCCTCCAATTCTTCCAAAAAATAGAAGAGGAGGGAACACTTATAAACTTGTTTTATAAGGCCAGCATTAACCTAATACCAATATCAGACAAAGTCACTAAAAGAAAAAATTATAGGCCAATGTCTCTTATGAACATTGATATGAAAATCTTTAATATTAGTATACCAAATTCAACAATACATTAAAAGGATCATACACCATGATCAACTGGGATTTGTTCCAGGGATGCAAGGATAGTTCAACATCTGCAAATCAATGTGATATACCACATTAACAAAATGAAGGACAAAAATCATATGATCACCTCAGTAGATGTAGAAAAAAAAAAAACATTTGACAAAATTCAACATCCATTTGACTAAAACCCAACAAAAGTGGGTACAAAGGGAACATACCTCAACAAATAGAGACCATATACAGCAAGCCCACAGATAACATCATACTCAAATGGTGAGAAGCTGGAAGCTTTTCCTCTAATGTCAGCAACAAGACAAGAATGTATACTTTCACCATTTTTATTCAATAACAGTATTAGAAGCTTTGGCCAGAGCAATTAGTCAAGAAAAAGAAACAAAAGGCATCCAAATCAGAAAGAAAAGTATAAAACTGTCACTATTCGCAGATGATCTATCATATATAGAAAACTAAAGACTCCACCAAAAAACTGTTGGAAGGAATCCACAAATGCAGCAAACTTGCAGGATACAAAATCAATATACAAAAATGTGTTGCATTTCTATACGCTAATAATGAGTTATCAGAAAGAAATTAAGAAAACAATCTACTTACAATTGTATCAAATGCAATACCTAGATTAAAATACCTAGGGAATAAATATAATCAGGGATGTGTACACTGACAACCATAAGACACTGATGAAGTAAATTGAAGAAGATACAAATAAATGGGAAGATATTCCACGCTCATGAATTGGAAGAATTAACATTGTTAAAATGTCCATACTACCCAAAGCAATCTATGGATTTAATGTAATCCCTATCAAAATTCCAATGGCATTTTCCATAGAAATAGAACGAACAATTCTAAAATGTGTGTGCAACCACAAAAGGCCCTGAATAGCTAAAGCAATCTTGAGGGAAAAACAAAGTCCAAGGTTTCACACTCCCTGATTTCAGACTATATTATAAAGCTGTAGCAAGCAAAATAGTATGGCATTGGTATAAAAACAGACACATAGATCAATGGAACAAAATAGCCCAGAAATAAACCACACATATATGATATAACATGAATAGCTAACTACCCCCTTTAAGCAGAAAAATGAGGGGCGCCTGGGTGGCGCAGTCGGTTAAGCGTCCGACTTCAGCCAGGTCACGATCTCGCGGTCCGTGAGTTCGAGCCCCGTGTCAGGCTCTGGGCTGATGGCTCGGAGCCTGGAGCCTGTTTCCGATTCTGTGTCTCCCTCTCTCTCTGCCCCTCCCCCGTTCATGCTCTGTCTCTCTCTGTCCCAAAAATAAATAAACGTTGAAAAAAAAAATTAAGCAGAAAAATGAAAAATTGACAAGGAGATAATATTTTCATTTTTCAAAGTGTCAAAAATGTGAAGTTTTATGACAGGTATTAGCAAAACACAGATTTAGGCACACCTCTAAACTTTAGGTAGGATTTAAATTTGATGAAGCCTATTTTGGATAACTATTTGGGTTTCAATCAAAATTCTAAATAGTAGTATAACACTGAGTCAGGAACTTAATTTCCAAGACTCTGTCTTAAAGAAATGGTCATACGTGTAGACAAAGATTCATTTACAACACATTACAATTAAGAACCAACCAGTACTCAATATAGGAGAGGTTCAATTAGGGTACATCCGTATGGGGAGTACTATGCATCTGTTAAAAAGAAGCGGGTCTATATTGTCTGATATAGACAGAACTGTGAGAACTGTTAAGTGGAAAAAAGAAATCTGAGGAACAATACATAAGGTATAATCCCATATATGTTAAATTATATGTTTAAAATGTTATACACTTATGTATGTTGGCATTTGTGTATATGTAGCGTTCGTTGAGTTGCACTGTTCCAAACACACTGAAGAATGATCTCTTTTAATTCTCACAATTTATCTACTCATCATTGTTACCAATGAGGAAACAGAGGCACAGAGAAATTAAGTAACTTTCACAAGATTTAAACCTGCATAACCATTCAGCTACATAAAAAAAGAAAACTGGAAGGAAACACAGTGTTTAGAGTGCTTACCCAAGGAAGGTGAGGGGAGTTGGGGAAGAGGAATTTGCAGGTTTGTCTTTTACGTTTTTACATTTGAATCTTTTACACAATGTGTTCATCATTTACTTATATATTTTTAAGGGGGAAAAAGGTTTGGCAAGGGATGCAATCTTTGTTCTGTTATGTAAATGAGTTTTTTGTGTGTAAACAAATTTTAAAATAATTTGTAATTAATAAAAAAAACACGGAGAACTTTTTCCTTCAGACACTTTCCAGGTTCATCTGCTTAAATTGTGCGAAATGTTTGAGGTCTTTGTGTTATCTCTTATGGTCTTTAAATTTTTGATATTACACTGGTAAGCCATGTACTGATTTCATTATCACAGATAACGCAGTTAAATATTAACTGTTAATAATCAATTAGCATTTTACAACCTGGCTGTTGTTATAAAGTAACGATTCCATGTACTTCCTAACAGGTCCTTGAAAATGGAGCTGGCCTGGAATTCAGTCTTTATTGTCCTCCTGAGCTTTTCGTGCTGGGGGTTAGATTGGGAATTTGATAGAAAATTCATTTCAGCTGCTGGTCCTCTCACCAATGACTTGCTATACAACCTGAGTGATCCACTGGGAAACCAGCGTTCTAATTTTGCAGCAGAGGACAGAAGCATTTATGTTTGTCGCCAACCACTGCCCGCTTTCCTGCCGAAGTTCTTTAATAGTGTCCGTGCCAATAAGATCACCCATTACAAAGTATTTCTTCCATGGGCACAACTTCTCCCAACAGGAAGCTCCAAAAACCCAGACAGCAAAACAGTGCAGTGCTACCGGCAACTCCTTGAGACTCTCAAGACCGCACAGCTTCAGCCCCTGGTCGTTCTGCATCACCAGACCCTTCCTGCCAGCACCGTCCAGAGAAGAGAAGTCTTTGCTGATCTCTTTGCGGACTATGCCACATTCGCCTTCCACTCCTTTGGGGACCTGGTTAAGATCTGGTTCACGTTTAGTGACTTGGAGGAGGTGATAAAAGAGTTTCCACACCAGGAATCAAGACCTTCACATCTCCAGACCCTCACTGATGCCCACAGAAAAGCCTATGAGATTTACCATGAAAAATATGCTTCTCAAGGTAAGTACACACAACCCTGATGGCTGACCCACCTTCTCCCTTCCTCCTTAAAGCAGGACTTGGCATTTCTTCCTCTTCAGTAGTCTTGTCTTTTGTATTCATTGGTGAGAAATTAATACTGTATTGAAGATACTCCCGTGGAGAGAAGCAGGGGTGGTTTATATTGCATAGTTCCAGCATTTCCTTTGAAAAATGTCTTTTAAGCACCCCTTCTCCAGTCTCGAGTCTGTGAGAGTATCTTTCTGTCCTTCCTACTCCATTCCTACCTCCCTGCCTCTCCAAGGCTTCAGGATTGCCAGTCTTCCCTCAGTCTCCCCCTTTTCTCATGCAAAGCAAGTTATGCATTCTAGCTGAAGTTTACATTCCAGCAGAGAAGACAACTACAAAGATAAAATAACGATATACTGATTGGTAGTGAGGAGAGAGTAATTGCAATTGTCCATATTCCTGCTTCATAAGTAATTGAGGTTCTGATTCAGTAGGTTTAGGCAGGATGAGTACATTTGTGATTTTAATAAATTCCTAGGCAAATCTGAGGTATACCAATTTTAAGAACCAGTTTTGGATTATTATGCTTTCTGTTTTTTATTATATACTCTATGTATATTTGTAGACATAGTATATAACATAATGCATACTTGTATATTCTACTTTTTAAACTTTAGATATTTTATGAGTACATTCTCATTTTATTAAAAATAAATATAAAATCCACCTATGAACGGATCATAGAGTTTTAAATATTTCTCTCACTTATATATGTCATATATATATGTTTAATTTTCACATTACAAAATACATTGCAATGAACATTCCTATATATAAATCTTTGTCTACCTTCCATTCAATAAATTCTTTCTGATTCTTAGAATTGAAATCACTTGTTCAAAAAATGTGCATTCTTTAAGACTTTAAAGCATGTTGCTAAATTATTTTCCAGAAACACTGTAATAGCGTATACCAACAGTTATAAAACTTTTCTGACCCTACTCAGCCTGTCTTCAATGATATAATCATTTTGTTATTGGTAATTTGACAGCTGAAAACTATTATCTCCTTATATGCCTCACTGGCACGTATTTGATTATAGAGAGATTAAACATTTTTCTATGTTAAAAATGAAAGCAGGGCAAGGGAAGAAAGAGTATGAGTGTGGAGGGAGCTGGTTCAGATAGGGGTGTCAGGAATACTGTCCTCAGGGAAGCCAAAGGAGGGAGCAAGCAAATGGATTAGACAAGAGGATTCCAGGAAGAGGTTAAAGCCCCTGCATGGAGACAGTGAGAAGCCACAGTCAGTTTAGTGAGCTCTCGGTAGAGGGTAGGAGATGAGGAGAGGCTGAATTTGAAACTGCATTCTTTGGAAAGCCCGTCTTGGGGGCAAGTGAGCACGTAAATATTTGTTGGCTGTAATTCTACTGAAGAAGTGCTGGGTAAATGAACTTGAAAGAAGGCAAGATTGAACTTGGTCCATCTCAAACAAAGGAAAATCTATCTTGTTTTGAGGACAGACTCCCTAGAATTATTTTGATTATAAAGTAGATATACATGTTTATTAAAATGTCTGTAGATTCCATTCTTAAGTTTCATCAGGTTACTAAACACTTTCTTTTTTGAGCTCATATTTTCCTTTTCTGCTCATTCCTCCCATCCTTCATTTTGTGTTTCATCAATATCACTAGATTATCTACCCCAATATAATGCAGGACACAAAGTAAATTATTTTTTTCAGTCTCCTTCTTATTCCAAAAGGTGGTTTTCCTTCTTTCTCTCTTTCTCTTATTTTCCACTCCTTTTTTAGTCCAATCCCATAGCCTTATTGTTCTTTTTCAAATATATCACCTAATATACACAAAACAGTTGTATAACATGAGTTGGTTAAAAGCAAAATACTATAAAAAATTACTGAACTGCTTTTTTTTTTAAAAAAGCACAAAAGTCTATAAAAATGCCCAGGGAGTGACCTCTGAATCCAACAATTAAAACAGAATACCACCTCACGTCAACCAGGATGGCTGTAATAAAAACAAAACAAACAATAACAAGTGTTGGCAATGATGTAGAGAAACTGGGACCCATACCACTGGTGGGAATGAATGATGGTGAAGCCATTTTGGGAAACACTCCGGTAGTTTCTCAAACAGATAAACTTTATTTTTTTATTTATTTTTTTAAGATTTTATTTTTAAGTAATTTCTATACTCAGCATGGGGCTTGAACTCACTACCCCCAGACCAAGAGTTGCATGCTCTACCAACTGAGCTAGTCAGGAACCCCTTGAAACAGATAAACTTTAGAGTTACCTATGATTCAACAATTTCTCTTCTAGGAGTATGTCTGAGAGAAATGAAAACAAATGTCTGGAAGAAAGCTTATCACAAACATTCATAGCAACATTTTTTATAATAACCCAAAGTGGAAACAACCCTAATGTCCCTCAGTTGATGGATAAACAACATGTGGCATATACATACAATGGAATATTATTTACCCAAAAAGAAATGATACGTGCCACAACATGAATGTACCTTGAAGACATTAAAGTAAGTGAAAGCAGCCAATCAGAAAAGACCACATATTATATGATTTCACTTATATTAAATCTCCAGAAGAGGCATAGAGACACTACAGTAGATAGGCTATATCTAGGGCTAGAAAAGAGAACAGGAAGTGACAGCTAATGGATAATGAATTTATTTTAAACATTTTTTTAATGTTTATTTATTTTTGAGAGAGAGAGACGGAGTGTGAGTGGTAGAGGGGCAGAGAGAGGGAGACACAGAATCCAAAGCAGGCTCCAGGCTCTGAGCTGTCAGCACAGAGCCCGATGAGGGGCTTGAACCCATGAACCATGAGATCGTGACCTGAGCTGAAGTCTGGCGCTCAACCAACTGAGCCACCCAGGCGCCCCAAGGAATTTCTTTTTTGGTGATGAAAATGTTTTGGAATTAGTAGATATGTCATACAGCTTTGTGAATATGTATAAAGATTTTATTTTTAAGTAGTCTCTATACCCAGCATGGGGCTGGAACTATCATTTTACTATCTCCATTCTCCTCTCCCATCTCAGCCCTAAGCATCTGCTAATTAACTTCCTGTATCTCTAGATTTCCCTGTTCTGAACATTTCATATGAATGGAATAATTTAATATGTCATCTTTTGTGACTGCCAATTCTATTGGGGTTTGTCTGATGTTTCTCTCATGAATAGGTTGAGATTATGGGTTTTAGGGAGGAAGATTACAGAATAAAGTGTTATTTTCATCATATATCAAGGATACAGACTATCAATGTGATTTATACTGTTAATATTGACCTTGGTCACCTGGTTGAGGTTGTGTTTTTCAGGTATCTCCACTGTAAAGTTATTATTTTTTCCTCCTTTCCATACTGCACTCTTTGGAAAGAAGTCACCATACACAGCTCACACTTAACGACTGGGAGTTCTGCTCACTCTAATAAGTAGTTTTTAAAAGTTCTTTTCTGAACTTAACCAAGGACACAAAAGACTTGTGCACTGAAAACTTTAGAACATTGCTGAAAGAAGGTAAAGGAAACAAAAATAACTGGAAAGTCATCCTTTGTTCATGGATCGGAAAACTTAATATTGTTGAAATTCCAGTACTACCCAAAGCAGTCTACAGATTCATTGAAATCCCTATCAAAATCCTAGTGACAGTTTTTGCAAAAATAGAAAAATCCATCCTTAAATACATATGGAATCTCAAGGGACCCCAAATAACCAAAACATTCTTGAAAAAGAAGAACAAAGTTGGCAGACTCACACTTCCTGATTTCAAAACTTACTACAAAGCTATAATAATCAAAATAGTGTGGTACTAGCTTAAGGATGGACATATACACCAATGGAATAAAATAGAAAGCCCACAAATAAACCCTTACCAAATGGTCAAATAATTTTCTACAAGAGTGTGAAGACCTTTCAGTGGGGAAAAGAGTCTTTTCAACAAGTGTTCCTGGGAGAAGTGAATATCTGCATGCAAAGGAACAAAGTTAGACTCTTACCTTGTAACATATACAAAGATTAACTCAATTATTAAGGATGCTCAATCATTGAGTAGAGCAAATGAAAACCACAACAAGATAGCACTTCACATCCACAAGAATAGTTATTATTTTAAAAAGCAGAAAATCACAGGTGTTGGTAGAGATATAGAGAAATTGTAATCTTTATGCATTGCAGGCAGGACTGTGAAATGGTGTAGCCCTTATGGAAAAGAGTGTGGCAGTTCCTCAAGAAATTAAACATAAAATTACTCTATCATCTAGCGCTTGGGTGTACATACATAAAAGAATTGAAAGCAGGGACTTGAACAGGTATCTATACTATACCTATGTTCATAGCAGTGTTATTTACATAGCTGAAAGGTGGAAATAACCCAAATGTCCATGGATGGGTGAATGGATAAACAAAATGTGCTATTTATACAATGGAATATTATTCAGCCTTAAAAAGAAATGAAATTCTGACACCTGCTATAACATAGATGAACCCTGAAGACATTATGCTAAGTGAAATAAGCCAGTCACAAAAGGACACACATTGTATGATTCCACCTACATGAAGGACCTACAATAATGAAATTCACAGAGACAGGAAGTAGAATAGTAGTTACCAGGGGTTAGGAGGTCTGGGGAATGGGGAATTCCTGTCCAGTGAATATAGAGTTTCAGTTTAGGATGTTGAAAAAGTTCTGAAGATGGATGGTGGTGACAGCTGCACAACAATGTGAATGTACTTAATGCCTAAACTGTACACTTAAAATTTTTAAGGGTAAATTTTGATATATATATATATATATTTACCAAAATCTTTGAAAAATTCTTTTCTTCTTTTCTAATCTTTCTATATCTGTTATTATAAACCTCCTGTTTATGTGTTCAATGTGCTGCCAGTGGGGAGGATTCAGTAGAAGAGAGGATTCGGGCAGAGAGTTGGAGGCTGGGAGAGTGGGAACATTCCTCTTGTGGGAAGAGCAGAATTGCACACAACATCCCCCACTTGCACAACACTGAGACACAACCCAGGGTAACACCAGTATTACCTGCCTGCCCAAGCAGTAGTAGTAGCTTGAAGCATTGATATTGGCAGTTCAATATTGGCCAGATTACTTTTATTGGAGTATTTGAGGCAACAAGGGAAGGAGCAAGAGGAAAGGGGGCTATTTTTTTTTTTTTATAAACAGCCGCAACGGTTTTTAGTGGAACAACTTCCCTTTATGGTGGAAACAGGTGAGCTTATCCTTTAGCGAGGTCCAGCAACGCATAGGAGGGACAGGAATTTACACAATGCTGTGCAGTGGTTTTCTACACAGGCTTACAACAGTTCATTCTCAACCCACAGCAAATACCAGTTTTGAGCTAGACACATGAACACCTGTTCATGTCTTTGAGTTCATAGACATATGAACACCTGTTTAATTATGTCCAACAAAAAAATGCAAGATAAATTTTCCTAAAGCAGAGCAATTATCCCCCTTTCAGTTCCATAGAAAACATGAACTGCAAGCTTCACGTGAGAATCTGGTTTTGAGTAATCTGCATTTGACAGTATGTTAAAAAGTATAGTTTATGCTTGCACTGGCAATAGGTTGGGAACCATGAGAATTTCTAGAACTTCAAGTACATTTGTTCACTCTAATTCTAAAAGCAGCTTGCAGAGTCAATTAGAAATTATCTATGGGGTGCCTGGCTGGTTCAGTCGGTTGGGCATCTAACTTTGGCTCAGGTCATGATCTCGTGGTTTGTGAGTTTGAGCCCCACATCGGGCTCTGTGCTGACAGCTCAGAGCCTGGAGCCTGCTTTGGATTCTGTGTCTCCTTCTCAATCTTCCCCTCTCCCACTCATGCTCACACACTTTCTCTCTCTTTCTCTCTCTCTCTCAAAATGAATAAACATTAAAAAATTTTTAAAAAAATCTGTGAGTTCATTCTATTTAGGGATTAACTGTACTCTTATTTCATTTCTTTGGCCTACAGATGATTGTACATTTTAAGATGTTAAGCACAAGCTGGGAACTTATGTTCCATGTGTGCTGATGTGACGATAGAATGAAGAATAGAAATCGGTGAAAGGTGAAATGGATCCATTAGGGACAATCATTTGAGTAACTAGAAAATAGCATTATCTTATCAGAATGAGGACTAAATGTCTCTAAGTGAAATTCCCTGCTTAGGAGATTTCAAAGTTCTACCACGTTTATCAAAATAAGCCCCTTTTGGGGCACCTGTTTCTGGCTCAGTTGGAAGAACTTGCGACTCTTGATATCTGGGTCATGAGTTCAAGCCCCACGTTGGGTATAAAGATAACTACAAAAAAAAAGCACTTTTGTAGTTGTTAGTGGTGGTTTCATTGTCAGCACACAGCCTTACAGTTTAACTCTCAAACTCTGATTTTATTTGGTTTTCATTTAGCGTTTCCAAACCACAGGTCTGCTATGCACCCAGTGCTGAAGTTGCTATCTGGAGTGATTAATGTTTTAAATTTTGCTCCTCAGCGAGCACACAATCCAGGGGGAGGTAAAGACTCAGGCGCATGAAAGAGTCAGTTGGCAATACAAACGGCTGAGGAACCCCTCCTCCGCAGCCGTGTTTCTCAAGTGGTGGTCTGAGGACGAGGGTCAGGAGCACCTGGGAAGCTTGTTAAAGTGCACTGTTGCAGAGCCCGCCCCAGTCTGCTGACAAGCACACAGGGGATTTGGACGCACACAACTGCTGAGCACCACTGCAGGTAATCAAGTATCAAATCAAGTGGGTACACGCTACAGGTGTTTATAATTCCTTCGTTTTCCCCTCCGTGCACAGGAGGGGCTGAACTGATGTTCAGGACAATGAATAAGGACCGGGTAACAGCAGAAAGTGTTAAACAAAGTGAGGAAGCAGTTCTCACCTCACCACCTTCTACACTGGAGGGGCAGGGCAGGGTAATTGCTTTTATTCTTTGTGTGTGTGTGTGTGTGTGTGTGTGTGTTATTTTGTTTTATTTTAAGAGAGAAGAGAAAGAGTGAGGGAGAGGGGCAGAAGGAGAGAGAAAGAGAATCCCAAGCAGGCTCCATGCTCAGTGTGGAGCCCAACACAGGGCTGGATCCCACCACCCCAGGATCATGACCTGAGACGAAATCAAGAGACTCTTAATTTCAAGAAGAGCCACCCAGCCTGCCCTGCTTTTATTCTTCTAAAAGACAAGTGTCCTGCATTTCTGAGTCCTGATTTAGGTGAAACATTCTCTAAAGGGACTTCGTTTTGTTTTTAAAGGCACCTTGTTATCTACAATCTTTCAGCTAGGGTAAAGTCATGTTAAGTGATTTCTTCAGAAATCATTTTTAAAGTCAGTGAACATGGAACAGGAAATGAGTCCCCACGCAGCTTCTGCAGCCCCAGCATCCTGCCTCACTCACCTGCAGCTGGTTTCTCTGGTTGGTTTTAGGCGGAAAACTCTCTGTGGTCCTACGAGCTGAAGCAGTCTCGGAGCTCCTGCTGGAACCGTCCACGTGTGCTCTTGCCAAGGTGATGACAGCACCCCAAAATAGCAGTTGCAACATCTGAGGAAAGTTGTGATTTTCATTTTAGAACACTAGAGAAGTTTTCATCTGTTAGCCTGGCATTTTTATTAACTGCCTCTTCTGAATGCTGTCCATTCTCTAGATTCATGTTTACCTTACAAACAAAATCTCATTTATTGCATCCCAGCTCTTGCTTGGTCTAGTGTCAGCTTTTGCCTATGTAAATAAGTCAAATGCTTCTGTTTGCTCTGATTTTTTTTTAACTAAAAGAGTCCAAAATAGCTTATTAGAGGAGAGGTGTGTTTATAGCAAAAGAGATATAAGGACAGGTAAAGGTTGTTTGTTTCTTTAAGTTTATCTATTTTGAAAAAGAGAGAGAGAGAGAAAGAGAGAGAGAGAGAGAAGAAAGAGAATCCCAAGAAGGCTCCATGCTGTCAGCCCAGAACTCATTGTGGGGCTTGACCCAAAAACCATGAGACCATAACCTGAGCCACGATCAAGAGTCAGACGCTTAACCAACTGAGCCACCCAGGTGCCCCTTATTTTGTTTTTTTAAAAATAACAAAACTCCCTAGAGTATCATCTTGTTTTCTGCCTCCTCGGAAAATAACTTTTTAACTATAATTTTATTAACTATAATTTTAATAAGAAAAGTTAAAACATCTGAGAATTAAACAGCTTTGGCCTGTGTAAGCTTGGCTGCTGGGCAGTGTGGAAAATCATCTGGAAAAATAGCTGATTTCTGTAGTTTTACAGATTTCTGTAGGGTGCTGTATAGATATCACAGTGCCATGTGACAGACATTGGTGCCTGTGCTACGATGGGGGCCCCATAGGTCAGGGTCCGGTCCTCAGATTTACCATCTCAGGAACTTAAAATCCAGTTGTGATAAGATTCTGAAAAAATAGTTTCAAGGCTGACCATATGGCCAGAATGCCATCTAAATTAATTTACAAGGGGTGATAACCGCTATCGGTTATGAACTCAGGAGACCAAAGTGCTGATCAGAAAAGTGCTTGTCAAGCAATAGCCTTTGGACTGGTCTCTTTGCCCCAGTCCATGCCATGCAGTGCTTCTGGAGTTTCCATGAGTCCAGTTTTTATTAATTCCCTACTGGGAATCTACACTCATTGCTCACTCTGAGATTCAAAGATGCATTGCATGGACGTGCCTGGGTGGCTCAGTTAGTTAAGGCATTTGACTCCAGTCATGATCTTGTGGTCCGTGAGTTTGAGACTTGCATCAGGCTCTCTGCTGTCAGCACAAAGCCCACTTCAGATCCTTTGTCTTCCTCCTTCTCCCCGCACCCTCAAAAATATTTAAACATTAAAAAAAAAAAAAAAAGATGTGTTGCATGGATTATGGTGATGGTTGCACAACAATGTGAATGCACCTAATGCCAGTGAACTTGGTAAATTTTATGTTATGTGTTGCCACAGATGGGAGAAATCGGTGCAAATCCCTCAGGGCCTTCCAGGTGTGGCTCACTCAAGCTGTCTTGGGGTCTCCCCTGCTATTTTTCCCAGTGTATATGCTATGCTTTCTTCCCCCTGTCTTGCATGCACCATTCAGTGTGCTTCTTATCCTAGATTTGCCCAAATCTCTTCCAACAAAATTCTACCCATTTATGACATACACGTGCATACACTTTCCATCGGGAGGCCTCATTTAACAATACTCCCTTGCTCAACTTGATTTGCTCTCTCTCTCCACTTGGAACACATAGCCCTTTGTTTAGACCAGCACTTTCCAAGTCTTGTTATGTACCAGAATCACCTGGAGAGCTAGTAAAACGCATAAGCCAAGGCTTAATGTGGAGGGACTGTCCTGGGTCTTCATAGTTTCCAGGTGAGCCCCAGGTAAGTTTGAAGACCACTGATCTAGACTTCCTTATAGCACTTCTAACTTTCTGCAATTTTTCATGTAATTGGTGCATTTACTAACACTCTGTGTTAAGTTGTACGCTTCAGTGGTTCTACTCTTTAAATCTTCCTCCACTGCAATGACTTTCAAGGGTGGGAACTAAGCGACTATGTGTTGTACAGAAATGACAAACAAAAGTAAGAGCTGAGAGGGGGTGGGGAAGGGGTTTGGTTGTACTCACCAAAGTGGAGCAAGCATGTAGGCTTTGGGTAAACACGGATGAGACTTGATCTGGAAAGCCATAGGGAGCTAGTGATGAGTCAATTATCAAAGGTCCACGGTGCACTTGGCTGTCATCGGATGCCATTATCAAGGGTCTGTGTCCCGAGGGAACAGATGATCTATGAAGGAGAGATAATAGGCTCTGATCTAGTCATGACAAGGATACAATGACTTCTGAGAAAGGCAGGGATGGAATCACAGTGGTATCTTTATGTGTTTAGACTGTGAATCTGAAGTTCTTAGAACACATGCAGGCCAGAGACTGTGCAGAGGGGTAGATATGTCCAGGACCATAAGAGCTGTGCTCTCGGATAATACAGTGGGTCAAGCTAGGGTCAACTAGGGTGGACTTGAAAACTGTGGCCTGACAGTAGGCCAGTGACGATAGCCTACAATTAAAACAAAGCCCCAAACCCCTGTAGGTCTGCAGAGATCACTGCAGATCCTGTGGGTGTCTGAGTGCTCTGCTATCTCCGTCCCAGCAAAGTGGGACGGCTGTGAGGAGGGGGCTGACCAGGGCAGCTCTGGCCTCTGACTCCATTAGTGCTCACTTCTTTGGTGGAAACCCACCATTTCTGGCATCCAGTACTTCATTCCCTCATTTAAATCTTTAAAAAAAAATTTTTTTTTTAATGTTTATTTATTTTTGAGAGAGAGAGAGACAGAGCATGAGCAGGGGAGGGGCAGAGAGAGGAAGACACAGAATCCGAAGCAGGCTCCAGGCTCTGAGCTGTTAGCACAGAACCCAACGTGGGGCTCGAACCCACGGACCGTGAGATCATGACCTGAGCTGAAGTCGGATGCTCAACCAACTGAGTCACCCAGGCTCCCCGTCATTCCCTCATTTAATCATATACATTTATTGAGCACTTACTGTGTGCAGAGCACTTTGCTGAGTATGTGGTGATATATTCCCAGCAACATGCAGGCACAAGGCCTCCACACATTCTCACTCTGTCCCAGCTTCTCCTCTACCTGCTTTTTCCTGGAAAATCTCACTTTGGAGTATCTATTTAGTAGTAGGAGGAGAAACAAAAAAGGATACTTCTGAACAGTACTTTATCTTGAAATTGCTTATGTTCTAACGATCCTATTTACTTATTTCTAGGGCACCGTCGATTTCCTCTCTCTTGATTTGTTTTATGAATGCCAAAGTGAGGCAAGTTTGCCACAGAAGTTGAGTAAATTGCAGGTAATTTGAGCCATTTCCCATATTGATGAACGGTGAAGCTTCCTGACAGCATGTTAGACATTTTTTTTTAATGTTTATTTTGTTTAGAGACAGTGTGTGTGAGCTGGGGAGGGGCAGAGAGAGAGAATCCCAAGCAGACTCTGGGCTGTCAGCACAGAGCTAGATGGGGGCTTGATCCTATAAACCATAAGATCATGATCTGAGCTGATACCAAGACTCAGACGTTTAACTGATTGAGTGCCCCAGCATACTAGACATTTAATGCTCTCGCTGATGTGTGAACTGAGCTATTCCATGCAGAGCCAGCAGACCTGCAGAGCTGCATCTGGGCAGATCTCCAGTGAATGCATTGCTGGAGAACATTGCAGGGTCAGGCAGTCTTCCCTGGAAGAGGTAATGAGGGTTGTCTTATTAAGGTAAATATCCCACATGGATCTCTTGTGTAGATATCTTAGAATTGAAATTCCAGTCAGTGTTCATCCTAAGATTTAAAAGGGCTTTTCATGGATGGTGGTTGTGGTTGCACAACAATGTGAATGTACTTAATGCCACTGAACTGTAAAAATGGTTATGATGGCAATTTTTTATTTTTTTATTTTTTATGTTATTTATTTTTGATCTTTTTTTATTTTTTTATTTTAATATGAAATTTATTGTCAAATTGGTTTCCAT